AACAAAAAAAATAAAAATAATTTTTTTACTTATTAATTTTTATAAAAAAAATATAATTTTAGTATTTGTTGCATAGTAAATAAAGGCAAAATATATTCTTTGGACTAGATCAGATCATAATTATAGGAGATTTAAATGTATATTATAAAAAAAAGTTGTTTTTGTTTTCTTGTGGCAAAAAAAAAAAAAAAAAGGTAAAGGCAACAACTGCTAGTATATTAAGACAGGCTTATACTTACAAAAGGAATAAACATAATTTTTTTACTTCTTAATTTTTACATAATAATAATATGACATATATTCAAGCTTTCAGAAAATAATTATGGTTAAATGCAACAGTTTTTCCCCCAACACTGTTTCAAAAGTAAGCACCTACATCAAAGGAAGTGAGAAAAAAACAAAGCTACATAGAAATGTGATCCTTAGATTAAGTTTATTCTAAAAAATTGCATTTAACATTTATAGCACTAACAGTGCTTGATTTTAAAAGTCCAATTATACGGTTCTAATTCGATGTCCAAATCTGAAAGGATGTTTTGAATTAAATTTTTTAGTAAGTTCAACTACACTGTCCATGTTGCACCCAAAATCTTGATAATTCATTATTTTGATTTTTTCGGAATTTGCTGATAAGGACCAAGGAAAACACTTTGCCAATGTGCATCCATTTAGTCAGCTGTTGTGGAAATATATTCAAGTTGCAATTAGATTTTTTTCTATTTGCCCCGATGCTTAGGAGCAGTGAATGTAGAAGGAACAGTTAACTGAAACATATATGATTTGTAAAAAAAAATCTTAAGAACATCATGAACATGTTTGATTATGTACGTGGCTACTCTGGACTTTAAAACATTTTCTGGCAGAGTCAGTAACATGAAAAATTACTATCCACAGTAAATTTAGATTAGATTAGTCAACATAATTTTTTTAGAACAAACAAGTTAAGTTTAAGCATCTTGCAGGCATGAAAGTTCAACAAAAAGAATGTCTCATCTTTTCAAATTTTTTCATCAATTATTAATCAAAATGATTTATAAAAAAAAACCAGAGAGAAATTTCAGAATACCACCATATTTCAAATAAGGAGATAAAAACAAATTTTATAATTACAGTCTTTCAGTTTCACAGTGTCTTTGTAAGAATTATTTTAATTGGGCCAGCAGGTACAAAAAAGTTTGAGAACTACTGAGATAGCCTATTTTGACTTTGACATGAAATTGCATAAAGAATTATTAAATGTAACGTCTTGCACAACCTGGTGTCAGAGTCCAAATTTGTTTGATTGCATAAGTTATTGTAAAAAAACTGACATTTTGAATACTGGTACCCAGTACAAAAATTCACAAAAGCTTACATACATGTTACATAGTAAGAAAAAGTATATTCATTTCATGACTAGACTTTTTAAAAGGTATTTTAAATAACTATGGTAAAATGTATGGCTTTTTTTTTTTAAAAAGGAGAATTGAGAAACAACTGATTAAAAAAAAAATCGGGTTACATTTATCTGTGTAAATGTGTACTGATTTGACATATAAATTTAAGTGTATTATGGCTACTACTACTAAAATATTAATTATTATTAAGGAAAGTATGTAATTTCCAAATGACATATATAAATAATATGATTTATAAGCCTCTTTTCACAAAAATATTTCGTGGAATAAGTGTGGTGGTCAGTTTACTCTCAATTTACAAGATTTACATTATAAAAAGAACGAATACGTCATTAACAGTATATCCTGGCAGCAGTTGAAACCTATTTCAGGAATGGCCAATGCAACTCTAATTTTGATATGGTTAGGTACCAGCAAGTGCCTATATTTAATACCATTTACAAGACTGTGATAATGCGAACTACACTTACGCAAATTTTATTATAGCATATACTCGTTCATAAGCTGACTTTTTTGGAAATATTTCAGGGGAAAAGGTGAGGTGGTTGGCTTATGAGCAGGTCATAGGAGTAGGAGATTTTTATAATTTTATTCAGAAAAATATGAAGAAAAATGTAGTTATTGGTACCGGTAGTCAATATAAAAGTGTGCAAATCTGGGTCACTCATTTTTTCCTCATTTTGGGACTGTACTCAGAGAGTATCTACCGTATATACTCGCATATAAGCCAAATTTAGAACTATAAAATACAATACTGAAATCAGGGGGCCGGCTTATATGCGCATAAAACAAAATGGACACAAGCACAGACACTAATGCCAATTTTCCAGCCACACATTTTCATCGATATCTGACTCTTTATTTGGTTGTGTGTACAGAGTACTAATATATATATATGTATATATATATATATACAGAGGTGTCACGTCAAAGAATTTAATGTATGCATAGCTGATAATTATACTGAGTATAAAACAGCAGAACACATTTTTGTGTCATTCCAAAAGGTAAACAAACTGGTATGTAACATAAAGGTAAGCATTTTTCATCTTTACAGTAACAAATTTCTATGAACCAAAACTATGGAGTGAAATTAGACAATTGTATGGTCCGCTTATATGCGGGTTTTTGCAAAAACTGGCCATTTTAAAGCAGTTTTAGGGGGTTGGCTTATATACGATGTAAGCTTATATGCGAGTATATACGGTAAGTGTCCTCAGAGCGTATCAAAGTCTCCACAGAGAATCAGTGACCTCAGAGAGTATCAATATGTCCTCAAAGAGTATCAAAGTACCATACAAATGTTGAATGATGAAATTTTATAAAATTACAATGGCAGCTTAAAGCTATCTTTAGAACTATAGAAATCTATCATTAGAACTATATTTAATACCAGTATGACATTGTTGCTATCAATAGCAGAATATATGCCTCTGTAAAGACAAGGCAACAACCCGTTTTTTTCAATGGTGGTCATCTATTTTTGGAAATGTTCATTGTAGATACAGTTTACACTGGTAGACATGCAAAAGGAGTATCTGTGTTGTATTAGATTTTAAAACTTTTTACTCACGCAATAATTACTTTAACAAGAAAAGTGGAGTCTGAATGATCAAAACATTGATCATGGGCCCTCAAAACATAGAAGAAGAAGAAATCAATTTTGTTTTTAACACCATCTTGCTTCTACTGGCATATTGTTTCATGAGGGTCAGCTTATGAGCTAGTTACACACTTTTCAGTCTTTTCCTTGCCAAAAGTAAGAGCGCCAGCTTATGTACAACTATCTTTTGAACAGGTATTTACGCTATTTGATATTTATAGCAGAATACACACATGCAAAGACAAAGCACTTACTTATTTCTTTCCTAGTGGCAGTCATCCATTTTTGGAAATATTCAGTATGGTTAGACACAGCGCATGTCTCATTAATTTTACTGTTCTTAATTCTTTTACTTACAAAATAATTATTTTTTAAAGTCCAGATTTAAAAAAAAAAAATTCTTAAAAATTGTATTCCTACCACTAGCATATTATTTTATGGGGATGACTTAGAAGCGGGTTAATACAATTTTCAGGCTTTTCTGAAAAAAACCTAAGGAAGGTGGGCTTATGATCGCAAGGGCTTTAGAACGAGTATATACCATAAGGTGAATTTTAATATAAGGTGGTTGATAACACATACCATACTATATAAGGTCATTTGTTTTGTTTAAAAGGTAATTTAAATATGAACTCAATGCAAGAATCTGCTGTACAAAATTTTAACCATCATGAAATGTATGGTTTAGCAAACATTGAATAATGTGAATCATATCTATTCATATCTTCACAACCTCCCACCAACAAGAATCCCCAAATGGTTCCCTCTAGGACCACCTGAATGTGCAGTTGAATAAGGTTTATGATCTGCCATAAAACTGGCTTTAAGCAATGACACTTTTAGAAACAAATATAATGAATATATTACAGAAAAACACTAAATAATATAACATTTGTTTAAAATGTAGGGTTGCACCGATTAGCTAATTTTCATATTACTGTTTACCAATCACTCGGCTTTGAATAACAGGCAGATGCAGATTAATCAGCCGCAAATTAATTTTTTTGGTTATATGGCTATGAACTGCCTATTAAGGGGACCTAATTATAAATTGTGGGGTTAATTACTACTAAGGGACGCTTCTGCTGACCTGCTCTCCTACCAGCTACCGTACAAGAATTTCATATATCTTAGTTCAAACATGGAAAAATTAAGACACATATTGTTTTGAAACACAAAAATTGGAATACTTGGTTGCGTCATTTCAAGTTCTTGAAATTTTGACAATTCTGGAAAAAAGGGTTGTTATTTGCTATCTGTGTCAATGTGCAAAAACGGAAGATGTCACAGAGACAAAAAACAAACAGACTGTGATGGGGGATGGGCGAGAGGAAGGAGATAAATGTTTAGCAGCAAGCTCAGAGTCTTACATATTACGAGTATTAATTTGGCACAGAGATGTATTTGATAAAATCCCATAATAAAGTAATAAATATTCTTTCAAACTCTACTACAGTATATTTAAATCTAACATCTTGTTGGCAATTTTTCTAAGCCCATTATCCAATTAATAAGTTACTAAAAAAGCAGATTACATCACCAATTAATCGGCAGAGTGGCTGATAACTGATTATTTGCCAATTATTTGGTGCAACCCTAATAAATGGCCAATTTAATTAATGTGTACACAACCCTCTTTATACGACTGACTGCAAAGATGTTTATATGTTTGGGTTCATGAAAAAATGACATGCTTGGGTTCATGAAAAAATTAAATGTTTGGGCTCATGAAAATGGCAATTAAAATTATTTTTAGTTTATAGGAGAAATGGATTATGTCTTAAGAAATGGATTGTTAAAAAAAAAAATATCAAAGGACTAACCCACAAACCAAATAAATTTTTTTTAAAAATTTGATACATTTTGCCCATATGAGAATATTTACATAAACATTCAACTGGCCGGATAAATGTTTTTGACACTAATTATCTGATATGTATTACTGCATGGTACAAAAATTTGAGTGGTTTAAATGATAGAAATTTTAAAAGATTAAAAAACTCAAACTTGCATTACTTTCATTTTATTTCATCTGAAAGTATGGCAAGTGATTAATCAAATTATTACTCAACTGTGCATTTTTAAACACAAAATTTTTTTTATTTCTTCTTTTAAATTTTAAAGATTTTTCTGATATGTATCAAATTAATAAATACATTTGATAGACAAATTTTTGATGTGCTTTTTTTTTTTATCGGTACAATAATTTTGACTCTATATAATAACCACTTCAATAATTGACACCTAAACTCAAAAACTATTATTTCCAGCCCATGAGATTTTAAATTCTGGTAATGTTAGTATATTACAATTTTTCAATGCAAATAAACTTAAAAAAAGACAGGCAGTTTCATTTGAATCCAAAGTTAATATAATAAATGGAAACGCACAAAAACATGGAAAATGATTAAACTCAACTTGTTCCAATCGTTATCATTTTGATCAACTTTTTGAATGAACAAATAGTCATAAAAATAACTAAAATGTTCTACAATTGTATTTGCTCACAAGACATATTAAATTTAAATTTTTTTAAAAACAAAGTCTCTAAGAACTCTGATCACCCATACCTTCTTCATCTTCTTTTGGGGTAAGAGCTTCAATGACCTTGCATCTATATTTCATATGTTGGCTGTATGACCCAGAGTGAGAGAAACGCTTGTCACAGTATGTACACCGGAAGGGTTTTTCTCCACTGTGCAGACGTTTGTGTTCAGTTAAGTGATGGCGCTGCTTGAATGCTTTGTTGCATACATCACACAGAAATTTGCGAGAGTTCTTATCCCCTTTGTCTATTTTTTCTTTCTTGTTTGGAGAAGCTGAGATGATCAATGAAAAAAAAGTCAAAGTAGAAATAAAACAGCATAAATTAGCCATAACTTGAATTCCAATAGATAATCAGCAGAGCTGAAGATAAGGTGAGAAATGTATGAGACAAGATGGTTATCAAAATCCTTTGCAGTGAGTTCCATAAAAAATACATGAAGCTAATTTAACTGATTATAAAATGTTTGACACTAGGCATAAACAAATACGTGACAAAAGCAGAAAAATTCTTATTATGTTTCTTTTTCTTAAACTTAAAGACTGACAAATATTGCCAATATTGATTTAAGTGATTGAAAAAATATTTTAAGCCACCTATCAGAGGCTGCATTGATGACCTTTATTTATATTTATCTATGTATAAATGATAACATATAAGCGGGGGGGGGGGGCGCGGTGTTTGCGTTCAAGCCATGTGAAGTAAATAGACATTTTTAGGCTTGAAAAAATTATCCTGTCTTGTTTTCAAGCCAAAACATATCTTGTTCCACTATTTTACGATTTATTTAATTATGTAGCTGTTGTAGACCGTTATGAACTAGCTTCTTATAGAGAATGCATGTGACCAATGATTAGACAGTATTTTTTTAAAGTGTTATAACTCAACTGATCTTGATATACATAAAACTTATCAGTAATATCAGAAGTTTTATGTTTATCTCATGTCTAACTTCTTGATCACTGCTTAAGCTATCCATTCAAGGCTCAAATCTGGTAATAGCATATTACAACCAACTTGTGACCAGTAAAAAATATAATTTGGAATAGTTTGCAGTAAAGCTAAATACCTTCACAAAAAGACCAAGGGATAAAAATTATATTGAGCAAATCAATCAGCTTTCTAGCTGCAATAATCATACTAGCAGCCTTTGGTGATATGGCAAAAAAAGATTATTTTAAGTAGAGTACCATATGAAATTTGACAGCATTAGTCAGAGGAAAGAAAGAACTTTTCATGAGCAGCCAGACAAACTCAGGGTATTTAAATATGAAAGAAGTGGTGAAGTGTTTGGCAAACCATGGCAATATATCAGAAGTGTTAGGAATTGTTTTTTTTTTGTAAATAGCTTTCAAGTGGTCTTACAGGTATGTTTAATTAAGTAAAAAAGAACAATATAAAAAAAATTACTGTACTATTTAGGACAAAGTAAAATTTAGCAAGACCAGTAAATAGTGGCAAATTCATGAAACTGGTCATTAAATTATAAGTGTTGACTGAAGTACATTTAAAACTTAAATCTTCTACCGGTATCTTTTACAAATGGTAACCCTTGGTTATTATTTGAATGGCTCAATATACAGCTAAAAAATTATTCATATATTAATAAATTAATTTTATGAATTGACTGGTTCAATTTATCCTAAGACAGAACTAGTTATAAAAGCTGTACACACCTTCTGAGGTCTTTAACTTCTTTGTTTTTCCTGCCTTTGATTTTTGTTGCCACATGTCTTTCTCACCATTTAACTCCCTTTCTGTATAGATTTTAAGGTAACAGATGTTTAGGAGAAGAGGAAAAGAAATTGTTAAACAATTTGGAATAAAAACATTACATATAGAAACATATGGACGGAAATCACAGTGGCATAGTCAGAGAGAGGGGAGTGTGCCAGTTTTTGTGGAAAAAAAACAAACAGAATATTTAGAGAGCAGTGCAGCGCAGAATGGTGGTTTTAGGATCAGAATCAGTCCAGAAGACCCCAGTTAAAGTGGTGGTCTGAAGACCAGATTTAGTCCAGAAAACTCAAGTCAAAGATGTGGTCTGGGGACCATAATCAGTCCAGAAGACACCAGTCAAAATGACCAGAATCTGTCCATAAATCTCTTTTCAAAAGTCAAAAAAATGGTTAAAAAAATTAAGACGGTCGAAAAAATGTAAAATATTTTGACAGATCTGTCAAGATCAATATGCTTAAGTTTAAGAGCAACTGAATTAAAGAACATAAAACTAAGGCCTTTTACTTTATTAAAATTGAAAAATGTAGTATGGTATATCAATGAAAGTATGCCTCAGCAAAATTTGGTTTAATTTATTTCAGCAAAATCTGATAAATATAGGTTTTAGTATTACGAGTGCCTTAAACTTATACATTACTACATTTATAAGTTTTATTAATTTTTGTTATACTGCTTTATTTGTCTCATTAACTAATGTCTCAAGGGTAGTAATGCTAGTAATAAGTTTTAAAAAAGCATTTTGGGATCCTGATGATAATATTTCTCAAAGTGCTGGATGACAATGTGGTGAGGCAGAAGCCATTTTTGCTGTTTCTTTAGGGCTTAGATTAAATAATAGAACCAAAATATGGTATTAAAATTTAAAGAATTAGCATTGTAGTTGTAATCTCAAGATATAGAAACTACCTATTTTATAAATATGAAGGACAAATTTTGTGCATGATGCCACTGCTACGAACAAAACAAGGCTTTCTAATAATCTTTATCAGTTTAAAAACATTTATTTCCACAGTTTTTGGTAGGTTGTCTAAGAAGGTGGGTACAGTAAGTTTAAAAAAAAAAAAAAATTAAACATTTACATAATTTGTTAAAATAATTATTATATCTCAGGATTCTAAGACTGACGAGCTTAAGTCTGTATTACAATCACAGGTTTAAAATTGCCCTTATATATTATTGCAATAGCATACATTTTTTAAAATTTTTCCTTATAGCCACTTACACTGTTATCAGAAAGATTCAGAATTTTTAAAGATTTATTATGCAGATGAGTTTTTAATGTAAAATTAGCTAACTACCCTTTGACTTTAAGAGAATTGAGGCAAGTGTTTAGGTATTTTGTGTAGTTGTTTTGGTCATGCCGGAATGTACTTCATTTATTGTTTTAAAAAAACTCACCAAAATAAAGTAAGTTAAACAAAGGCTATTGTAATTTAAATTTAATCCTATCTATATGTACATAGCATATAATAAGTTGGTCATTTTTCACCAAGCAGCCTTGGTTGTTGTCACACTATTCTGTATTCTGGCTGTTTCTGGACACCCCCCCCCCCCCCCCCATTTCATCGGAAATGTAANCCCCCCCCCCCCCCCCCCCCGATACATGATATCATTTATGGCGAACACCCAACTCTCACTCATAAGTAGTGTTGTTTTGTAAGTATAAAAGGTACCGGAACTCAATTTGTTTTTTTAATTATTCAGATAACTTAAAATTCTGCCAAACAAAGATCACTGATCATATGTATCATGAATATACACAGGCATTTTTTTAATGAAAATCTTTGAGATTGTTTAAAGAATAAAATGGAAGAGAGTTCAATAAAGCAATAAATCGGAGACTTTGGATGAACACATTCAAGTTTATTAACATTCACAATATATATATATATATATATATAAAGGTTACATATTAATCAATGATTACTTTTTTTTTAGACTCCACTCTATGCTTTTTTCATTAAAAGTTTCTCCAAGAGCCTATAGAAAAAAATTTAAAAACACCTCACAATACATTTCATTTCCTACATTTTAAAAATTATTCTGCAATAATTTATGTAAAATGTGTAGGTTTAAAAACTTTTTTATGAGCCTTTTGTTAATTGAAAGGATTAACCTATTACTATTATTCATTGGAGGTATTGTCTGTGCTATTTTCAGTATCCATACAAGATGGAAGCTTCATAAAGTGATACAGTATGTATGGTATGTTGAAGAATTCACAGTGAATTAAAACAGAAACAACTTTTTTCATCACTATATGTATTAAGACATTGGAATGCATTAAATTCAAGAAAACAACAACACCATGAAGAGTGTTTTCATGTATGCACAAATCAAACATAAAAGATACAAGTAATTGTTATAATGAACACAAAAATAACATAAATGAACTCAAAAGTTGTATAAAAAAGGTGATGTATTGTTATAGAAGCGAAGTCTAAATGAAAACTCTTGATGAGTTAAAAATAAACTTTTTAAATTGAACTTGTGGTATAATGTAAATACTAGTTTCTAGTATAGCCCGTCAAACAATGATGGCCGCAATGGGTGAACTCCTCATCTACTTAAGTTACTTGACAAACCATCCATTCAAATAACACAATTTATAAGACTCTTAATAAGTGTCTTCTTTTCATGTCCCTCATTTGTATGAATAGTTTATTAATATTTTAATGTCCCACCCCCTTTTACACTGCAGATTTATAGCACCAGATTTAAATTGAAACTATTTCTGTAAAACAAAAATGTTTCGCACCAAGTGCACTTGCATTATTTTTACCTCTTTCGATGCGGAACAACCACACTGTGTTCATCTGCCTTTCTCAAAAGCACGGACCATTGGCTGTGCGTTGTTTCAATATCATGTCTGTTTCTTTACTATTTCTCTGTTAAAATTTTTAAGAGCTCTTTTTAAACAGGACTTTTACATATGAGCGTGGTACTTCATTATTTATTTGCGAAAACAAGGTTTATTTGATGTCATTTGAAGCATTATTTTAATGATTTTCTTAGCTTTTTTTTCTTTACTGTTGCTATGGCTACTCTTGGCCCTAGTATGTCAGTAGGTTTCCTAGATAAATTAACAGCTCAAAAAACTTTGGAATTGTTTTATACCATTTCTTTTGATAGTGAAGATAATTTATATTTAGATCCATCGCATGATTTCGATAGTAGTAGTTTTAGAGGATATGAGTTATAGAAGTGAAGATGAGGTATGCGTACATATAGGGTTTGGGGAAAAATGGTTATCACATTTTATAGTTCTTTTCTGTAACTTATTTTATTTAAACTGAAGAAATAAGTTAAAAAACATAGTCTCTTCAATTATCTTTCATTTGATACCAAGTTTAGTCTGATAAACCAAAGAATAATATTTTTAATATTTTATAAATTAACCCAACCTCTCACTCTTTTTCGCTCTTCGAAAAAAATGTACTTTTTAATCAAAAAATTCCGCAGCGAAAGAGTTAAGAATCTCATTTAGCGCATTTATGGGGAATGTTATTTTGTCCGCTTTTGAACACACCATTGCACAATACTTTCTCTCATACTTAGAGAATTATATGTATTGAACAGAATGATTCAATTATATGTAAATTTTTATGTTACATGAAGCATTTTAAAAACCTTTCTTTGTTGAATTAGTTATTGTTCTCAACATCTTTGGGCTGAAATGTACCTGCTTATCATTTTAAAGAGCTTGGTAATTCAAGGTATGAAATTAGAATTATATTAGATTTAAGAAATTTGCTTCCAAAAATGAAAACATAAGAGAAAATGTCTTGATTATGATATTAATGTTTTTGGCCCAATAAAGTTAAAATTTATTTTACCATTTCCAATTTAAAAAAATTATTTCTTCATTATTTGCTCCACATTCAAATGACAAATAAAGATTCTAGGAATAACAACTGCAAAACGTACCGGTATATCAAAACTGGATTTCTCACACTTATGAAAACAGATAACAAAATATTGTAATGATTCAACGACCTAGGTGATTACAAGGATGTCCACATGAATTACAGTGTATTGAAGGTTATTTGGGGGTCCACAAATGGGATAGCAGAAATGAAAAATTTGCTTTTACCTCCTCATCAGTAACTTGTATAATTTTATAATCAAGTGTTTCTTCAAGCTATTTTACTGTAGACAGTATAATGTCAATAACCACCACTATTTTATCAAACATATTAAACCAGGGTTTCCCAACCTGAAAACCCTACAATTGTTTGACTAAGTCTCAGAACTCCTAAAAAAAACAACTTTTCCTTAAATGGAAAGAATAAACAATGATATTTTAATTAAAAAGAGAAATGCAGAACTTAGTAAATAAATGTGCAACATTTAGCACAAGGTTAATTCAATGAAGAAATTAAAAATTAAATTAAGATTTACATCATGCGTCAGCGGTTCCTCTAGTCTTAAAAACCCCTTTGATCTGAGCCCTCGTATTAAGAAAAATATGTATCAGCTGAGCCATGTGTACCTCAGAGGGAGAATTTTGGGGCTCTCCATTGATGGCAAATGACTAAAATTAGCTAACTAAATGATCAACTTACACTAAACATTTCAAAAAGATTTACATGTAGATTTACATACTCTACTGGGTATAAAATGGATTTCTGTCAAGTTTTTTGCATGTATATTAAGACATTTTACTGAATGACTTACATGCACATAGACTGTGGCTACTGAATAAATGGAAAAAAATTAATATTGGAGAAATAAAAATAAAATGTAAGGACTGTACAACATTTACCCACTTAGCAAAATTGCAGTTAATTTTTAGCCAGGCTATTTTAAAGATTAGCACAGCTATTATCTTGCTCCTAATTTTAACCTCCTCTTTTTATCTTATACATTCCAAGATTTCAACCTTATAAAGGAGAAGCACAACAATTTGAGCTAAGAAATGACTAATAATTATTTTTTTTATTTAGAAGTTCAATTATAATCTATTAACAATTAATTTGTGATTTCAGTAAGCTGTCCACTCCCTTAAATTGCTTTAGCTTGTATACCAATTGATTTTAAAATTTTGCAACAACCCAAATATTTTATTTAACGTGATTTCATTTGATAAAATTTTTAAAAATATTTTTGTGAATGTTTGAGCTTTTTCAAAGTATCTGGCAACTGATAACAGGTCACACAAATCTAGTAAATACTGAAGTGCAATACAATGAATCTACAACACATTACCAACCACAGAATATTTTTGTATGGTAATTAGTGTACTATTCATAACTGACGGCCAATACTCAGGATCATAGAAAATTTGTGAAATTTAGATTCAGGTTGACTTTAAGTGTATATTACAGGTCAAGAAAATGGATGATGCATTACAAATTTGATGAAACAAGGGATGTATGCGTCTGTTACATTGATAAGTGACTCCATGCAAACAGGCAATCACTATATCTGATTACATCAGCTTCAAAACTTCTAAGGTGGCTAAGTTTATGTTTTCATCTTTCCTTTTTCTGGTACTTTTTCTGGTTGACTTGCTGTCTTTTCGTCTTCCAACTCCTTTTGTAATATCCCATTTGAGCTGGTCGAGTCTGCTTTGCTTTCCTTTGCTATTGGGAATATAGGCAAAAAATGCTATTAAATACAAGAGCGTTACTGGCTTTAGTTCTCGAAAAACATTTGTAAGAATTTGTAAGCTTTTTAATTTAAAAAGAAAGGCATTTAAAAAACTGTTGCTTGAAAAATGTATTTGTTTGTAGGTGCCAATGAGCATTGGAAATTATTGGACTAGTTTCATTTTTAAATCAGCGCTAGAATTTTTAATTCTTTCTCAATTAAATAAAAAGTCACTCCTAAAATATTTAACAGTACTCTTTTTGGGCCAAAAATTTTACATTAAAACCAAAGACATGCAAAGATAAATTTCATAAAAAATGGTAAATTAAAAAAATTCTTTCTAAGGCATTCCTAAATACTTCAACGAAGTCTACGTGAAATAGTACTTTAAAAATTCACAACTAAATGCATTCCACACAGCTAAATAATCAAAACCAATGTTATTGCACCAAAAAAAAAAGAAAAATGGAGCGAGTTATGAGAAACTCCTTTGCTGCATGACATACTTTGTTAGAGACACTAAAACAGAAGTTGGCCTGGGGGTATTTAGTAACTGACACTAAAGGTTTGTGAGGAAGAGGTTTCAATGGATATTTTTAGCAAGCATTAACAACATTCATAATTTTTTATTAAACCTGACGCAAGAATTTTAAATTCAATATTCTCTATTATTACTACACATATCACTAAAACACTCAATGCTAGTTAATTTATAAAATAGTATAGACAATTAAAAATTTTGTTGGAAAAAAAAAAGGGAGGTGGACATATATTACATATATTTTACAACCTATTAATCAACAAAAAAAATTTGGCATGCAAAAGAGTATTTTTTTTTTTTTTTTAATCTAGTTGTATTTCACAAAAGCACACACAAATTAAATAAAGCAAACCCACCACCAACTTACTTCATGTGAGACCTCTTGAGTCTTCCTTGCCCAAATAAAATAACATAGTCATGACTTGGAATATCTTTTGATGTGAGGTTGAAAAGATCGCAAAACAAAATATGCGTAGCTATTTTTTTTCTGTTACAACAACGGTGTGAACACTTTTACTGCTACACACATAAAAGGTATCTTCTATACAATATTCTGTTTTGCGCTTAATGCTTCATAATTCACCCTATGAGAGTTAGAAGTGGGTCTTGTAAATTTAAGAAATTTTATTTTAGTACCTCTTTTAAAGACTTTCCACTAATGCTAATTTTAAAAATAGATAACAAAATGTCTCAAAGTTTTTGTCTTTACAGCAAAAGAGTTAAACACAACTCCCTAATAGGGGTCAATTTGTGCAAAGATCATTGAAATGTGTGTACCAGATGGTTTTTCTGGTATTTAGAATGTGATAATTGTCTTAGAAATAGGAAAGAAAACAACAAAAAAAAAAAAAGCTTACAAAATTCAAGTCACATAACACATAGCACGAAAGGTTACAAAAAATATTTTAGAGGAAAAAAAAACGGAATATAAAAATAAGCAAATTCATAATCAAAATGCCTGTAAGCTTCTTATTATTTCTGAAGGACATTTTTTTTAAGAACCCCAATAATGGTTCTTTGGAGCTTAGAGTTAAGATTTACTGATTTTGTAGGTATCAAGAATACATTTAATTTGGATGAGCGATGTGTAAAAGCGCATTAAGCGCTACAGAATATTGCTCAACATGAAGACACCATTTACGATTCGAATACACTTCAAAGCACAAATCCATAGGGAAATTTTTATACCAAATAATTCTATGAGACAACCAAACTGAAAATATACAGTACAGCTGAAAATATAATGGGTGAAATAAATGGTACAACACTGCGGATGAAACAAATTTTGAAACTAATAACTGACATTATAGGATTGAGGAAACATTAAAAGGAATTCCTATGGTTTAAGCAGACTAGGCTTGCAATTGTATCTGACAAAAAGAATTAAAATCATAGCTAATACTTTATCAAGCTAAATGTTCTTAGTTTACAATGGATGATTATATTTTTTGCAGATGAGTATATTTTTTTCCTGGCATACTAAAAATTAACCAGACATTTTAATAAAAAGATATTCATTGGCAAGCATAGGGGCAGCTGGGAATTGAACCGCCATAAGATTTCCCAACAGATAAGATAATGTCTGCTATTAACTTACAGTTCTGCTGAGAAAGGTTTGGAAAAAATAGAAATCCACAATAAAAAGTGCGAAAAGACAACAAATATTAATGCAAATGTTCATGTGATAACCTCCATAAGTCTCTGCAAAGCAAAGAAGAAATTCCTTTTAAGCTTTCATCATGATCTCATTAACATCTCTAAAGCTTAGCCTGCTTGGAGTTGTTTAAATAACTTTTGTAATCATCCACGATTATTTTAGTTTTCCCCAAAATGTATTTTCAACAGGAAAAATAAATAAATAATGCAGACTTCCTTCTGATGCATTGAGTCACATGTTGTAATTTGAGAGTCACCATTACCGGTTTGTAGTAGAGATAATATTACTTATACTATATTTTGCAACTTTATTTTTTAATTGGTTCAATTGATTTTTTTGCTCTCAAATGCCAACATTAAATCCATATTTTATCAAATTTTGCAAAATAAACTGTAGGCTTTATCAGACAAACCATTTCACTTTATTTAGCAATAATTGATGCAAAGCCAGCCCTATTATACATAGCCAAAAGTTAATTGCTTCTTACCACAGCTGATGATTCCATTATATGTACTTTTTTCTCAATCACACTTAGTGTCTTATATTTTGAAAATAATACATTATTCTTATCCAAAAACAAAGTTTAGCACTGCAGCAAGGGCTGACAAATTCCCCTAAATAGAAATGATGAGGGCACAATAAAAAATCACCACACTGAAAGCTCAACTCGAATGTTTGTGCAAAATTCTCACCTGATCCTGCTGTGCTTGGTGTGCCAGGGGATTCTGTGCCACTTTTCTCTGGGGTGGTATTAGTGCCCATTTCTTCACTTGGTTGTACTGGTGGGGGACTGGGAGTTGCTGTATCAGAAGCATGGGTGTCCATAGCAGGAGTCTAACAGCAGAGTGTGAAGAAAGGGAAAGTGTGTAGTTCATGTTATGGGCACTTATATAATTTATTTAAGACAGAGTGCCCTGTATATTTTTATAAACAGAAAATTTTTCCGGAAAATGTCAGAGCTCAAATGACTACAATGGTCAATTCAGTAATACTAAATGTAAAAAAGAGTGGGTATGCCTAAGAGATTCGCCACTTTAAAAACTTGAACTAAAATCTCACAATCATTACAGTTGATATAGTAATAAAATATCTGATGAGATACCCTAGCCCCACATATGAATTGAAGTTCACACAGCACATTCAATATCTAATGACTAAGCTTATGGTTACCCTTTGAAAAAAAGTTATGGAAGAATGAAAACGTAGCTGACACTTCTAAAGACAGGTAAAAAGATTAGTAAATGATTGCAATTAGGATATATACACACTGGATAGCAAAAGCACACCAATAAAAATTATTCAGCCTTTCATCACTCTTTTAACTGTAGTCTCCAAATCTTAAAGGGCTGAAAATTTTGACCTACCGGTATTCTAAATTTCTTTAAATAGGAGTGAAAGGCAGAATTTAAATTAAAAACATTCCTATGGAACTATGGTTAGGGTCCATCCTCCAGATATTAGGTACATCATATATGTATGTATGTATGTATGTATGTGTATGTCTCTATCTCTATGTGTGTGTTCATAAGTAATATATCGACGGCCCTTACTTAACATAACCATATTGATAATGTTTAAAAGGAATTGTCAACAGTGCAAAATGTAAATAAAAAAGATTGCCAAAGATGATAAAGTAAAGATGCTAAATTTAGGATTCGCAACAAACATGAATTTGGTTGCAACAAACAGAATTGATTTATGATACTAATTGTGAGAATGAATAATCTCCACAAAGCATGACAGCAGAGAAAAATATATGAATGCAATAAGACATACCATGAGAACTGGGTTATCTTTCCCGGACATCATTTGACTTGGAGTCTAGTGTAATAAAGGAAATATACTATAATGCAGATCAGATCTAACATAACATAACAAAAAAAACCAATATCTTAAATTTCAAATATATAATTAAAATGAAATGTCTGACAAATTTATGTTAACACATGCCAGAAACTGAATACGTTCTGTATTTAAGAAAAGATCAGATTCCATATTGATCCAAATAAATGGAATTTTAAAAAATTATACTTCACATTTACATCACATAAATAATTACACATTTTTAACTAAGGCAACATGTGATAATTTAACAATTAAACAGACATCTACAGCTGAAGTATTTCCTTACCATAGAAATCAGCTACAAATGAACTCTTTAAGAGACAATAATGACTCAATAAGTGATCATTTAGATTAGGTAATTGCTGGGATGCTAGTAAATTCGTTCGGACAGGAAAAAAAATAATATTTGTATGTCTTTCTGTCCTAACTTAAAGAGAAAGAATTAGCCCTTATTGAGCTGATTTTAGCTACCGTATCTGAGAAGAAGAAGGTGGGATAAATTTTTAATAATTTTATAACAGCATTTTTCTTGAAATAGTTCTTCACTAAAAGGATGTTTAGTTTGTGTAATATTACTAGCTCTCTTGATTAGTCTATTTAATCTGTGTTTTATGTCAGATGAAATCCCACACCAGCAGGTAATACTGAAGTTTAGTAGTCTTCCAATTGTTGCACTGTAGATTAAGCTGATAACTTGTTTGTTTACATCAAAAATGTACAATTTTTTAAGAAAAAGTCTTTGGTTGAATTTTTTAAATACAGAATTTGGCCGTGTTCATGCCTTGTCAGCTTATTATTAATGAGGACATCTAGGTACTTATATTTCTTTTCTTGTTCTATTCTTTGATTATTTATTGTGAGATCTGCAATTGGGTGATTCCCCCTCTAAACAGGACAACTATTTCTTTCGTTTATGAGCCATTCAACCGACGTGTGCCAGAAACTGAATAAGTTCTGTATTTACCAAGTTTGCATTTTTGTCAACCTCCATCGGCTCATGATTTCCATTTACCAGTGTTGAACTAGGAGCTAAAGCAACTTCTTGTTGTCTCTCAACACCCATCTGAATATCATCTGCTCCTTGGGGGTGCTGCCTCTTTCTCTCTTCATCTTGCTGCTGATTAGCCATCTGTTGCATCCTCAATCTCATCTCTTCTTTCACTGCTTTAGCTACCATATTGTTAAACATTTCATCTGTTATCTGCGGCTTATTCTCACACAGCTGGAGTAGATATTATAAAGATGAACAGATATTACAATAATTATTATAACAGAATCGAATTAATCCAGCCTAAAAACGTGTTATTCCACTTGAAAAACTTCATTACTAATACCCTATAAATACAAACCATATCCCTTTCACTGGTGGCCAGTGTAGGAAAAAAATGTAAAAAAACTAAAGCAGGGTTTTTTAAAATTTAAATTTCAGGTGTGCAGTCAATATGATTAATTAAAGGTAATAAACTTTATGATTGAAAAATACTACCAAAGAAAAAAAACTGGATATTCTGATAGTTTAGTGCCTACTTCAAAAAAATTTAATAATAGTTAACATGTACCCTTTTTAAATCTTGATGAAATGCTTCACTTGATTCCATAAATTTTCTTTTCTTCTGTTCATGCTTTTCCTCAATCTGGTGCAGCTCTCCTTCCAATTTTTTCTTAAAATATTTATAAACATGGGAAATGCAGTACCAGTTTGAAAATCATAAACTAGAAAAGTGCTCCCCAAAGTTTTAAGTAGTGCAGATAAGTTTCCCACTGCACCGATCGATCCCAGATATCTAAATTATTTTTACTTTTAATTGACCTTAAAATATTTCATAAAATAATTATTTAATTTGCGATCATTCAATTCCATAGTACCATATTAATATCAATTTAATTCCTATCCGTTATTAGATTTGGGTATTATTTTCTTCTATGACGTGAGTTATAATTTCTAAACAGTTAGTAGCATCTGCTTCGCAGGCTCTTCTAGGCAGTATAACCATGTGTATTTTTATGCTTAAGACAATCTCACATTTTAAATAAAAAGTTGAAAAATGTGAAAACGTTGCACTTTCTTGTTTCTTGTTGTGCAAACTAGTGCTGGTCCACCGACTACCACTTTGGGAAACACTGCACTAGAATATTCAAGTTAAAACCCTTAAATATAATGAATATTATTGATGGTGAAAATTAATGTTTAACAATACTTTTAGAAGGCTTACAGACATGACTGCACAGAGAATGAGAATACAATTAAAAATCTGATATGCAAGGTGTTACAAAGGGAGATAACTACATTTACTAAATCAACAAACCTGGTGCATGGTTAGAGACTGCACCTGCCTTTTGAGCACCGTCATCCTCGCCTCTGTCACTACACTGCGAACATCTGGAACAACTGTGTCACTGAAGATTTCGTTGATGAGACGATGGTTGCGAAGGTAACGGGCTTGCGCAATGTGCTTAGTGGTGAAACCATCCTCAACATCTTCATTATTGAAAGTAAAAATTTGGTTTAAATTCTTTAACAGTGGAGTAAAATTGTATAATTTTTTAGACAAAGGTACACATACTGTACATTATGTAGTTCATCTATGAGACCACAAAGTTGTTGATTCCTGCTTGTACAAATAATAAAAAAACTCCCTTAGTGAATGCAGAGCTTCTTTCTTTTTCACTTTCTTCTAAATGTTGGGCTTTCTATTAAGAAAGTAAATAGTTATGCATTTTAATATGTACCCAAAGAACATTTTCAGAATGGTCAAGCAGTGTTCAATACAATATGTACCCAGTATAAATAAGGGTATTTAGAACAAAATAAACCTAGGGAAAAACAGGATTTTAAAAAATTCTTCTGCAAAAGTTTTTAACTCACAAGCTGCCATAAAAGACTTTTGAAGTCTTACAGAATTGAAAGATTTTCAGTTAAAAGCAGAAAAAAAAGGAATACAAAAAAAACTTATGAAAAAACTTATTCAACATACATAGCTAACACAATTATCATATACATATTAATCCTTATCAAAAATGTTTCTTCTTATGTATAAAAGTGATCTAAAATTAAACAGATCAATTTATAGAAACAATGTAACAGTTTTATTTGTCTCGAGTTATTGTCATAGATAAATCTGAACAATGTAATTCATGCATTCATCTAATAAAGGATTAAACAGATAGTCCCAAAAACTTGCTCTCTGGAAATGAGGCAATAGATTCAGAAAATTATGGTTCATAATATGTATCAAAATCTACTCACCCTCGTCATCTTCATTGGGCAGAATACTTATACGGGATCCTTCACCTTTTGAACTCTGAAAACCGTATAATTCATTGTATAAATGTGACCCTTCTCGTTTTGAACTCTGAAAAAGTCATATAATTCAGGATTCATGAACTAAAAATGACATGCAAGTATGATGCTGATTTTCTTTAAAAGGGGGTAGAAAAGATGATTTCTTGAAGGACTTGTCAACAGCATGCAGAAACAATTCAGCCTGTGATGATGCAAGCAACTACTGATGCCCTTTTAACACTGTCAATGAATAATTAATCTTCACTTCTAATTAACCTAGTGGTGCTTCATTTCTTCCTTGGTAAAATGCAACAGAAATGTAATTGCTTAAACTATCAAATTATATATAGGCTCAACTAGTGATGGGGTGTTAGGCCTGTTGTAATTTCAGGAACAAAATTAAATAAGGGTTATAATTTAACAGGTGAACTAAGAAAATAATCCTTACAGGCTTTTGAGCAGAGGTTGGAGGACGTTCAGGTCTTGCAACAGGTTCATCTTCATCAACAGCTTCCCTTTCAGCTGTAAGCACACAAAAAAAAAAGGTACAATGACAGCTTTCAGAACTAAATTTATTAAAGAAAAGGTACACATGAAATAAATATAAATTAAAAATGTCATTAGTATCTGGCTCACCTTTAGCAGCAACCCATGCTTGATATGCTGGAGAATTATGATAGGCTTTCAAGGATTCTGTGTATTGAACCTATCAAATGATTAAAAATGTATTTTTCAATATATACTTAAGGGAACAAATTACTTTTGAATGAAAATTCAATCTGTTCCAATATTAAATTGAGCGTCAATGTTCTAAATAATGTTTTAAATATACCAAAAGCAATTTTACCTTTTCCACTTCATATTCTTCTTGAAACTCCTGTTTGTCGTGGTCTGACAAGTCTCGCCACATTTGACCAATGATCTTTCCAATTTCCCATAGTTTCAGATCTGGATTTTGAGCCTTGACTTGCTCCCACACCTGCACAAAGGACACGCACAATAACACCGCACAAACACAAAGCTATACATAGAACTATCGATCCATAAAGCATTACAAATCCAGAAAAAAATAGAACCTAGAAACTCGGGTTTAAAAAAAAAGGAAAGATTTCAAAGATCAACTTGGGTTTTGTTAGCACAAAGACAGGTGAATTAATTTGACCGGGATAAATTTTTATGACTTCATTCTCTTTTTATCTATTAATTAATTCAAATAATTAATCAGGTTTTGCTAATTGTACCATTCACTAAACATTCTATATTCTCAACAATTCTATCAACAAAGCTTCGCAAAATCATCTGACAACGGTCAAGTAAAGTAATTATAACTTAAATAATTTCAACAAGCATGCAACATAGATGGATATAATTAGAAACACCATGACACTTGATCTGTGGTTCTGTTGGTTGTGGGTTAACAGGGTTAAAGAATTATTGTTAAAATTAAACTTAAAAAAAAAAACCATAACTGGGAGGGTTTGAACAGCTAAAATGAATTATGGCATCATCTACTTTTAAATATATAGCTCAGTGCTAGGGTAGCTGCAATTGAACTTCACTTACCAGTACTATAATAATAGATAAAGAACAAATTAACTAAAAGTTCACTTTTTTGAGTATCTAGGTATTGGATTTTCAATATATAAAATTGTATTCTGTATAACAAAAACAAATGCTAATGACAATGCAACAGTGAGAACCACCTGGATGAAACTAACAGTGATGTCTTCATAACTGTGATCACAGATGGACATAAATAAAATGGTGTGACATACACATATTTTCACCTAAAAAGCCAACTTGAAAAATACCACAAATTGGTCAATGGTCTGCCCACTGAAAAAATAAATTCCACTGCACTGCCATTGTTTTATCCATGTAGTTTGATAGTTGCTTCACATACAACATGTCTAATCAACCTTTTTAGTACATCTGTTACTATTATGACATTAAAGTCAACATTGTGCAAATCAAATGACTCAGGATAACTGTACGAAAAATTCCTGAACTATTTTATGGCCATTATTACTTTAATACATTGAATAAGTCAAAAATATACTCCAGGCTCACCAGTGCAGTATTTTTTACTCACCCTAAGGGATGGGTGGGGGGTCAACTTAAAGATTTATAAATTAAAATAACTAAAAGCTGACTCTTCAAAAAAAATAAATAGAAAATAGCAAAGTATTAGGTATTTAATTCTAAATTAACTGCTATGCAAAGATAGATGAAATATTAGCACACAGGACTGCTATAACCAATGACTTATATTGTAGAAAGAATATAGTTTTTACAAGCCACACAAAAGTTTATCGAGTTTTAGCATGTGCATCTGACTGAATAAATTGAAAAACTGTTAGAGAGAATTCACTAAACCAATTGGGACTATGTTGAAGGGCAGGATAAATATCATGAATTCCATTACATACAATTTCAAAACTAGGATAAAAATGAATCCAAATGTAAGAAACTACCATTTACACACTGAAGCAACTAGACAAAGTTCATATATGAAAATGAAAAGTGAGCTTAGATACTTTAAATGTCAAAACAGCTATATAAAAAACACTATAATACTAATTATAAATTTAAAAATTATCCTATAAATAATTAAGAAAATCTTTACATGACCAAAACGTTAATTGTAATGATGAATTAGATTAGTTCAATGATTTCCAAAAAGATTAAGCCATGTGAAATATTTTCGACAAATAATCATGTTACATAGTCAAGTTCTCTTTTAAAAATGTACTAAAAATTGCTTGGTTTACTAAAAGAAATCGAATAACTAAAGATCATTTAATAAGGTATTACTCAAAAGAGAAAATTTGTAAGAAAATTCATTGTACCTGACAATAGCAATTAGCTTCTTTGGGTAGACATAAATAACAGAAATGGAAAAACATTGTAAAACTTTTAAAAAGTTAGTAAACAACATAAACATGAAACAATTACTACTGCCAGTAAATCTATACATAGTTCCATTTAAAAGCAGTTGTTAATTTTATGTTTAATGACACAATGGTCTAAGTAAGATTTTAGTTAATGATGAACCTCCTTGAAAACTTAAGAAATTTTTATTTGGATTCAGTTTTTGGTACTAAATGCTCATTAAATCTATGCATTTATTTTGCAACTAAAAATTAAGAACCTCATTATCTTATTTCTTAGAAATAATAAAATCCCATATAAAATAGGATAATTTAGATGATTGTGGTCTTAAACTGTATCAGTTGATCTGTTCCAATGTTCAAGGAGGATGCAACAATAGATTTACTATGTAAGTAAAGGGGTTAGTTAGTAGCATGTGTTTACCGTTGTAAGACAGTTATTCCGAAGCAGTACATTGACTTTTTTAAATTAAATGTTAACATTCACAAATCTACCAAAATAGGTTAATCTGTTTCTCTACTAAAATCACACACACAAAACATAATATAAATAAGAGGGACACTATGAAGTAGAACCTGTTAACTTTTTTAACATGACTTTCATGGGTTACTTATTATGTAATAAAAGTTTATATGAAAACAAGAAGGGTTGATCTTTTCCCCATGGTCTTTAAAATTTTAATATTTTTAAAACATTTGTTTTGGAAACTTCATGCACCTTCAAGCCACAATATGAAACAGATGTACAAAGGTTTTTTACTTTTCTTTTTAAAGAACATATTGTATGTGAAAATGCACAAGGAGAAGTAAAGAAATGGGCAAAATGACGTCTGAAGTACATTTTTTTAATATATTAATAATTAATTTGTTGAAAATGAAGTCAATACGAATTAATTTTCATCATTATTCATAAGCCCATGTCTTCACATCTCTCGTTCACTAAGGAAAAAAAATTCAGTGCTGATTTTTTTAAAAACTGTTTTATTCACTTATGTTTTGTAATGGGTTACTTCAAACTTATTTTTTTTCCATTTCAAATATTTACTTTTCAATTAATTATTTTTCATGCATAACAAAACACGTCAGGCAAATGTGAGATCAAACAATCCATGCAAATTTAAATTCGTTATCATAAAGTGTCAATCATATCACTAAACAAATTTAAGTATTTACAAGTCCAGCACTGATTTTTTTGTTTCATTGGATGCAACTACAACCAACACAAACAACAGAATGGCAATGATGTAAAAAAAGTTCAGTGGACAAACCTTTCCTATTACCTTTCTGCTGTAGCGCATGTAGGGCATAAGAGGCTTATCTGGAGGCTTAGGGGGTTTTGGGACCCTACCCTCTGACTGTAAATAAAGAATATGTTATGAAAATTATGATTATATATTTCATGCATTCAAAATATTTTGCTGACTTTATTAATTATTAAATACCTACCTGTTTTTAACAATCTATAAATATTTTATATCTAAAAATCATATATATAATAATGTAATAGTTTTAAAAACAAGAAATAAAGGACCTTAAACTATAACTTAAAAACATTTAATTGGCAATTATTTAGGGTCATTTATTTCTTTTGCACAATTTCAAGTGATGAGAAGAGATTGAACATTTTGCATTAGGGTGCACAGGTGACAAAGGTGTGTGTTTCATTATTTTGAACAAAGCTAAACACATTTCTTTCATACATGCAATAAAAAGAATGTCACATTTTCAGTGGTGTTGGCATATTCATACACCAACATCCAAGTTTCTTGGGTAGAATGCAATATTTGTCACCCTTGTGTAATTATCCTTTCTTTCTCAACCTTTCTCTAAAATGATAACCAACTTAAAAACATTTATTTATTATTTTATTTCTCTGAAACTGGTCTTTCTATGTTTTATATTCAAAGTTTCACATGTTAGTGTTTGTTCCCTCAATGTCCCTATCCCCCAATGTACAATGTGAAATAAGTGGGACTGGGTATGAATTTTTTTTAAATGTATGGATATTATTATGTTTAAATTACTGTAGTGACTATAACTCACAGTTCCAGAGCTTTTGCTTGCCTGAAATTTGAAGGAAAAAAAACAACAAAGGTTAAAAATTTCACTCAACACACTGCATCAGACCAAATATCTGTAATAATCATACATTTATTTTGACAAAGTAGATACTAAACAAATACAATAAAGAAAAATTAGAGTTTTAAATCTTATAAAAACTGATATTAATTTGCGACCCACTCAAAAGCCAACGCCATAAAAAAATATGCCAATGTAAGCAATTAGGTACAAAAGAATATCTATAATGAGATCATGCCATCTTTATTGTGATGCTAAAAATAATTGAATAGATTGACTAAAAACTTCCAGTAATTTGGTTTTCTGTATAAGGTAAAGAATGGCAGAAGCACATGAACTGACAACTGTTTGAATCAAAATTTGTAAAACATGACATTAAAAATGTTTAAATAAAAAGAAGTGCAAATATTTATTAATTCTTAAAGATTCATGTAATGTCTTTGAATTTTGTAGAGAACTGGGTAGACTAAAATTTGCCGATCTACATTAAAAATTTCATTATTCAATGCTCCTGGAGAATATAGTTAAAATCTCATAAGCTCCACTCATAAGCCGACCACTCCATTTAATTCCATAAAATAATTTTTTTTAAAGTCAGCTACACCATATAAATAATTATCCTATACTGCAGCTAATAATTAGGATCTGATACCAATTTAGTTATAATTAGATATAATTCCTCGGTTGATTATGCTATTCCTGTTATTTTAACGTACATTAGGTGTAAGTCAGAGTAAATGATTGAATATAAATCCATCACCATAAATTTTGTCTGTCTTGACAAAGTTACCGAGTGTATTGTTTTATAATTATAATTTATGTTTTTTTCTCTCGTAGGGGAAAAGACATGTTATGGATCAAGATTGCCAGATCAGGGACATTGCTTTTTCAACAAATTATAAAGGGTTCACATTACATAACTTAATACAGTGTATATTAATAAATATATATTTATTTACCGAAGCTGCTCCTTTTGTTTTTGTGGGATTAAAACTAGGATGACCATGAGATGATGGCAAAAATGGACTTGATCCACTTTTATCCTGATGAATAGATAGAACAAAAATTATCCTTTCTGGCATATAAAAAGCTTGGTTAGTTAAAACTTATAAGAACCCTAGCATATAAAATAATTATAGTATTCAGCATATTAATGCTTCATATGAAATGAGCAACATTAAAAAATAAACATACCTTCTCAGCAGTCCCTGGTGTTCCAGGCATAAGCTTTGACTTTACTAGTATGGATTAGCAATAAAACAGTAAAAAATTAAGAAAAATGAACACATTTTAAAGAAGAGTTATGGACAATCTAGCTATAAATTATAATCTACTTAAATTGAGGGAACATACAACACAGTAGCAGCAATAAAAAAAAATTAGTGAGTCTTGCATGCTTAAATATAATGTACTCTAAACATTGTATAATACAAATACAGAGTATTGAACTTACATGATGGTATAGGGGAGGCAACGACGGTGCCCCCTCTTAAATTAGGAAGAGCCATTGAATTCTTTTCCAAACTAAACCTCCGTCTAAAATAATTGTGGTAGTTAATGGGTTATATCCATTGAGACATGTGGCTGGAGCTGAAATATTAAAAATTGAAGTTTAGACATACACATGCATATTCTAAGCTAATGAACAGTACAAAAAACCTAGGTCAATTACCAAATGGGAAAATTTAGGGAATAAATAGTTTGATTGGAACATTGCTAAGACTTAAAATGGATACAACAAGATTGTGGCATGGCTCCTAAAATTTCTCATATTCTCATCAAAACAATTACTAGCCCAACTTCAACAACAACTAGATCACAAACCACACAAGATTTAAAAAATATTTTTACCCTTTAAAATCACATATCTTATAACTTTTACAAAATCCTATAGATATGGATATAACACTCTTCTCAGAGAATATATCCTGGCATCATGCAGGTCCACACTGTTGGTTTCATCACCCTAAGTCAAGTGTTCGGATTCCCCAAAGTAACATCACTGCATTTAGGGCTCTTGGCTAAACCCATATCACTAACACAGGGGAATCAAACTTTTTTTTTTCAAAATCCCTTTAGACACTGGTGGGGGCAGTTCGATACTTTGAAAAAAAAAACATGAACAAATTCCTACACACACTTACATACCTTACTTTGACACAGTAAATTAAACATCAGTGACAGGTGTCTGAACTTCAAGTGATCATTATTCAGAGTTTAAAATAACTAAAAGCTCCCTTTCAACTTGATGGAATTACTATAAAACACTTCATTGGGGGGAGGGGGTGGTAATAATTTAATGTTATTTATAGATAGCCCCTTGGCAGTGGTGGGTTATCTCATAGTAAGCAAATAGGGAGTATAATTGGTCAGTTCTAATTCAACAAACCACCTTCCCTACGTCGATGAGCCTAAGTTGACTTTGATTAGAGTTGAGTAAAAAGGGACAAGGTTAGTGATTACTGTATCTCATGCATATTCATATAGCATGATCCACTTATAATGACAAGAACCCCTAATATTATTTATTTTTTAAGTGTCTACATGTCCGGCGACCGGACGAATAATTCTTGAGATATGCGTCCAGCAACCAGGTTACATGACCGCCGTAACAAAGTTGAGCGAGATTTCTGTCCATCAGACCACTAATAGTGTATACACTTCATTTCAAAAAATAATATGGGGGTGGGGGGCACGCCATGCATACTATAGAAGTTAGAAGGAAGAAATAGTGAGAGCGAGAGAGAAAGGATAAAAATTATAGTAAGGGTGATAAATAATTAAGGCGGGGAGGTCAAAAGTTCAAAAAGAAATCGACCCTGTATCTTAATATAGGGCCAATGTAGTGTGCTGTTGGGGTAGCCTACTTCACATGCAATATTAATAGCCTAAAATAAAACTTTTTTGACAGTAGTATAGATCTATTGACAGTCAACTGGCAAGTATTGGTCTTATTTTGTTTAGTTTATATGATTTATATTTTAAATTTAGGCTACTAGGTAGAGTTTTTTAAGATATTTAAACCAAGATAACAGACTTTTTTATTTTTTTTTATTTTGCCGGTGACCTCGTCACATGAAATATCTGCCGGAATAATAAGATATACTAGTGGTCCAGCGGTCACGTGACATGCCCGCCGGAACAATATCTCCCACACTATTTGTCCAGTTGCTGGACGTGTAGACAACATTCAATGATTCAGCATTCCTTTTTTTTTAAAGCATAAAATGAAACGAAGTGGATGCGTACACCGTGGCGGTGTACCTAGCGAAACCATCGGCTTTGGCCTGCGTAAATCCCGGCGGTGTACCTAGTGAAATCGTGGGCTTAGGCCTGGGTACACCGAGGAAAAAATTAGAAAAGATCTTGTAGAAAAGATCTTGTGTGGTCAAGTGGTAGAGTGGACGCTTGGCGGTAATATAGTTTGAGATTAATGTGCATGGTCGTATTTCAACCTTGAACCATCTTGCTGTCACTATGCCTTATGCATTGGCAAAATGTACATACGATATCAAAGGTTCATTCACAACACTCAGTCTCACAGCATATCTATTGAAAACACCCCGATTTTAGCGGTAGCAAACTGTATAGCAAAGCCATAGGTCTGCGTTTAACCTTTTCATGACGGAATTTGTTTCCAGAATGGCATGACATGTGCTATTCTCAGGGTAAAACACGACATTTTCTCACAGAAACCATTGCACAATGGGCTTGGGACAGGATTTTCGCGATGTCAAAGTTTTTGTATTTGTTGTTTATTTTTGTTAAGAAATCGATCCTTGCAGGGGGTGGGGGTGGTGGTGAGTTATGGGCAGAGGCTTAATCAAAAAGGGGGCTACACAAATCACGGCTCTGGATAGGGGTTGACCACAAAGGACGTCCGCACAACAAACTTACCTTTTGCATCCCCCCCCCTCCGCCGGCATTTTTTACTAATGTGTAATGCCAATGTAAAACTAAATCAATGATATTTAATTATTGTTAAAAGACTTTTAACAATCACTGCAGTGTTTCGTATTGATCATCATACTGTTGTTTTGTGTTGACACACGCTTGGTATCACAATGACAATGCCTCAGACAACTTTAACTTCATGACTTCATGATCAATGTATGAGTATGTGATTCTCTTCCCGTAGTGTCATTGTGGCCTAATTATATCTTGGTGCTAACAAAATAGATTCACTGGCTTCCCATTCATTTTTACACCACGCCCCGAGGGATCACATACAATGTTATATTTATAATGCCCCCCCCCAAAAAAAAACCAACAGCAACAACAACTGGGTGGGGGGAGGGGGTGGGCATGAGAGAATAATTTAAAATTAGCTACCTTTTTTATGCCTATTAAGATCCACAATCATATGATAAAACTTACAACAATTTATAAAGATATTTGTATTTCAATATATTGGGGGAAGGGGGAATAAAGTGGTTAACTTTAAAAATGAATCATGGTTTAACATTACACCCTCAGCCCCCCCAGAGGCGTAGCGTGGTGGGGGCAGGGGGGGGACAGATTCCCCGGGCGCCAGCTATTTAGGGGCGCCAAAATGTGCTTTGATATTATTTTATTGATGAAAATAATGGGTTTGAGAGTTGAAAAAAAGAAAAAGGGCGCTAAAAATGGATCTTGTCCTCGGGCGCCAAACACCCTCGCTATGCCACTGCAGCCCCCTCCCTTCCAAAAAAATAAGAAGAAATGCTTTACATGTACTTTGCCACATAAGCGTGGAACTTACTCAATATCTTCCAAGGTAATAAACGAATTTTAAATAAATAGTTTTCAGTTTTAACACGAGTATAACATTAAATCTATACGTACGGGTTAGGCCAAAAAATTTAAAGACTCGCAAAGACCATAATTTTGCTACTTTAAATCGCTGCGGTGTATGCAAGCCACAGACCATGATTTAGCTAGGTACACCGCCGCGGTGTAAGCAGGCCAAAGTCAATAGTTTCGCTAGGTACACCGCCGCAGTGTACGCAGTGCCGGCCAAAATGAAATGTCCACATATAGAATATAGAGCAATAATATGTAAATTATGTTAATCTTATTCCCTAATACTAATAGTACACAAGTATTAACGAAATAAGTATATATTTATAAGAAAGATATCAAAATATCTTACATATTATATACTATATGGCCTATATGCCTTGCCTTATTTATAATTAAAGTTATTTTTGGATAGTTGATGCTGGGACTTGGAGGTATAATTAAAACCCTAAAGTAAAGCCTAAAGACTACCACTATATAGATACTTCGATAAAACAAGGGAGACTACTACTTTTTTTGTATCGGAAATAAGCGTCGGCGCCGAAAAATACGAGTTTTTAATTTTCCGATGAGTGTGTCTATTTATTATTAAATTAGTTCTTTGGACATATATTTGAGTTCCGTTTCAGGCCTTATAATTTGGAAGACATCTTGGCCTACATTTCCATCCAACTATTTTGCTTTTTTCAATCGAACTTCATTTTGAAAATCTTAGTTATATATAAGGCATCTTCGAATACAAAATTTTTTGTGAAATAAAAGGAACATGTCTTTCATATTAAATCGTGTAAGGCATTAGATATTGATATATATCTGTGCCAATTCTCATTGATGTAGGTAGTGTCCCACGTTCGCTATGCTTCTCCCAGTGACCCATATCACCATAAGGGGGCTCAGCCTTATTTTGACATGGCGGAAGTTGCCAATACTTAAGAAATATTTAATTATTACCACTATATACATCAAAATATTTGATAACTTGTGTTTCAGAATGCATTTTGAAGACATTTAAACTGGAATGTTTTAATTTGAGCTTTAAAAACCCGGTAGAATCCATATTATAAATGATCAGAATTTTCCGTGTGCAACACGTTGTCATTGGCAACCATTCACAGCCACTTGCATAACGGCTATATCGTAGTACTATCTCAGAGTTTCATTCATAAGAGTTTGCCGTGTGCAAAAACTATTAAACCATTGGTCAGGGAAAGCTTTAATTAATTATTCATGTGCCAAAGTTGAAAGTTTAAAATAAGTCGACCCTAAACAGTATTTTAGTGATAAGGGAATGCCTTAGCCTTATATAAACTATATAGTCATTGCGCATGACGCGATGAGCGGAATGAGGTCACAGAATGTGGAGATGCAGTCCATGTTAAAAAAGGACAAACCAAGTCGTACTTTAAAAATTCATAACTTTAAAACTACAACAGCTAAAAATATAATTTTGGTGTTATAATTCTGTAAAAATTTAGCTCTATTCAACTATGCCATTGGTTTATTTTTACAAAATGTTTAAATTTTTGACCAAAGTATCTACACTATACTTTACAGGTCCAGTATATGCCAAACAACAGAGCTTATTAATGTCCAAAGACAACATTCCCTGCATTACAGTCTATATTTATATCATGACACTTTTCGACTTCTGAGTTAAAATTTTGTCTCAATGACTGACGAACTCGCCCTTAGAGTGGCTTGAAGTTAAATTATAATTTGAGTCGCTGTCGGTGCTCGTGAATTTGCCTGCATTCATTTTTCCGCCTACCCCAAACTATTTTTTTCAAATTACGAGCACCATAAATACTATTATCTAAACATTATTGACCTACCATTTAAACAGATAAGAATTAGTTTTCCTAATAAGAATTTTCTTGCATTTCTATATGAATGTAGACTATTAATTACACTATCACAAAGAAAGCTTTAGCGATCCCACAATTCCACAAACTTCAACAATTGACAGATTTTTCTGACAATGGTGGCTAAATTATAGTGAATATATTTTAATTTAGCTTCTTAATTTATATTATTTATTATTAATTTATATTATTATTTAAATTGTAAAATATTAAAACAATTAAAACAACCCTTAAACCCAATTTTTTCGTATCAATCCTTTATATGCATTGTTATTAATATTTTGTATATTAATATTCTAATGTCCCACGCGCTCTTTATATTTACACCGCAGATTTATTTCATAAACTTTTTCAGAAAAAAATGAAAGAAAATGAAAATGAAAGAACAACAAATTGTTCTTGAGATATTTTTACGAATCTAATTTAACGCAGTTATCGGGAATTTTATTTCGTGAAATCATTTGTAGCAAGGTGGATGTTTGGTGGTGATGATGAACGAGATAGACAGTTTTATTTTATGCACTGAAGAAATCAAGGTATTGAGGACTACAGCTTTATTATAAACTTGCCAACTAAAAATATGAAGAAAAAGGGGGTGAAAAAGTCTATTTATTATGGAGAAAAAGGGCTGAAGAAAAACTAAAGATAAGGCCTGGGAAAAAGGACACTACCTGAAAAGAAACAGTTCAGGTTAACAACGTTCTGACTAACATTGAATAACACAGCTAACAATAAACATGTTAACTAACCCTGTAATTACTAATTACAGCGTGTGACAAAATATACTTAACTAATGGTGAGTAGACGTACATGTTATATAAAAGACAATAAATATTATATTGTTTTAATTATGTTTAATTCAATCGTTCTCTTTCTGTGCCTCCAAACAATGGAATTCTCTTCCATTACACATCCGCAATATACCAACCATCACAACCTTCAAAACTGCACTCAAAACACGTCTTTTTAAACTCCACTATCCTGATTGATTACCACATCTAACTGAAAAACGATGCTTCTCGGTGTCGTCCATGACTTGACATGTATATAGTTTTAAATATACATTTGTTTTGTTTTATTTAATTAATGTATGTTATTTTTTTTTAAAAAGTTTTTGGTTATGTTTGTTAAATTTTATGTACAGCGTAGTGAGCCCAGCCCTAGACTGGGGTGCCAAGCTATATAAAACCACTTATAATAATAATAATAACTATAAAGGAAATCACGTTGCGGTGTTTAACTTGTTGCACGTACACCGTCTTACACACAGAATCAGTATAAGATGTGAGGGCTAACATAAAGGTCTAGAAAATTCTATGGCACTGTCGTCCATGTAAGGTGTCTATAAGATGCACCCATAGCAGGACAGGTACTACAATGGTGTAAGATATAACCACAGTTAGTTTTATACTTGCATCGCTCAATCGCTGTGTCTTGTTAAGAAAAAAGCAAAACTGCTAAATCTCTAATTATACTAATAAAGCTGGTAATAGTTGTGACAGTATGACTGGACGTCATGAGTTGTTTTTATTCATTAAAGTTTTTGAACGTTGATAAAGAACGGAATTGTAGGAGGCATTAAGAGTGACAACGTCAGAGCTAGACTACTTAGAGAATCTGACCTGACCCTCATTGAGGCAGAAAACATATGCAGGGCAGTGGAGACAATGGAGTGGCAGCTCAAGATAATGAGTTAAGAAGGTTGGGTACAGGCAGTGACATCCGATTCAGGGAGATCAAGAAGACCACAGGCAAATACACATTGCAACTATTATGGCAAGCAACATCCACCAAGAAAATGTCCAGCATATGGTCAATTATGTCACAACTGTGGCAAACAGAATCATTTTTCCTCTGGATGCAGGTCCATTAGAGTTGTAACTTCTCCTAACACATGCATAATTTCCTATTTGAGAATTTAGCACAAGGGAGAAGAGTTAGCCTACTACATATATTTCACGTATATTCGCTGGTTGTAAACTGCTGTGTCAATAGCTAATAATCACATTGCAGTATGTGTAACCAGAACGATGTAACGGCTGCGTGTTATGCTCACATACTCTGGTATCTAATTCCATTTCAGAATTCAGTGAACGGCTGAATCACAACCATCGCAATATCATTGTTATACGTCAAATTGACGGAGCTAACAAGTGATTAAAACACTGCCTAATATAAGTCATGAACAGAAATATTCCATTACAAACAACTAACAATTGCATTCTTCAAACACAGAAATAAAAATGTGCATTCGCTTCTACTTACAGAGCGTCCCAAATGGGCCGCTGTGAACACTGACACACTTTAGGGATGCGATGAAAACCTCGAATAAAAAATGTCATTAGTGTACCCACCCTAAATTGTAGCGCGCGAACATTCTAGAAGGCATGTAAACATACTAGAAGGCATGTAAACATACTAAGGTATAGCGAATAAAATCCCCTTTCCAACTAGATATAATTCATAGCATGATATACTAGGGTTCCCGTGAAATAAAGTTTTTAACTTATAACTAAAGCATATATAGTGGTTCCCAATATTTAAGTATTCTGAGCAACGGAGAGACGCTGGTCATCCGCTGGGTAATTTATTTCCAAGCCCTGATCCCGAGGTCATATTCCAATCCCATGTTGTTGGGCGAGGTCAAATTTCAATAGAGTATTGGGCGGGAACAACATATCGTAAAACCGTGGCCTAAACACTGACACACATTGTCATCATATTTCCATCGTATTTCCCCTGAAAAACAGGAATAACTGATTTTGGGGAGTTGGGACTGAAAAATTTGATAGAATGTGTTGTCATCGGCAACAAGTCTATGTGCCAAGTTTTAGCTCGATGTGTTGATGGGAAGTGGGTCAATAAGCCGTCCGAAGATTTTTGCCACCCTGCGAGAGCACACGAACAGAAGTGAACTTAATATAACAGAATTAGAAAGGCAAAATTTAAGAATACATTTAGACTTAAGAATGGACTTACTTTTCTTGATCACACCAGAACCCACCATTATGACAGTGGGGGAAAAGGCAATTACTGGTACCGGGTATCAGGGACGTGCTGGCACATGGAAACCCGTGACAAACGGTGTAGTAAGAAAGGCTCGGAGCTCCCCCCCCCCCCGTACCCCGGAGATTGTAATAACTGCCCAAAAAGGCCCATGACGAATGCTCGTTGGGGAAAAGGCAATTACTGGGACCGGGTATCAGGGACGTGCTGGCACATGGAAACCCGTGACAAAAGGTGTAGTAAGAAAGGCTCGGAGCCCCCCCCCCCCCCCGTACCCCGGAGATTGTAATAACTGCCCAAAAAGGCCCATGACGAATGCTCGTCGTGGGCCAGCACGTCCCTGCCGGGTATTGTAAATAAAATCGCATCAGTTGGATGCTCTTGTGGTAGTGAAAAATGTTGGCGTTCATATTGGTTGGGATTCCACCCTCTTAGTTGGATTTGTTTCAGATTCATTTGCGTAGCCCAGGCACGAATTTGATGAGTTGCAAAGTGGCTCAACCGTTGAGTAAAACCTGTTGACGTCTGTAACGTTGGCGGTGACAGATTCAATATCAATGGTACGGGCACATTCGTGGATTTTCTTTTGAAATAATCCCAACGCACCTTTTACAGTAGAAGATGTACCATGTGCAACGCATAGTAAAGGCTCATAAAATTTACCCGTGACATATCTATTATGATTGAGCATAAGCTGTAAGTGAATGTTTAAAAGACACTTATAATTGTAATGAAGACGGCCTTATTGCTATCACTGACAGCAGCGGCCCGGGTGGCCTAACCACCACTGACAGAAGCGGCCCGGGCGGCACAAACATCACCGATAAGAGCGGCCCATGAGACCCGAATATTACTGACAGAAGCGGCCCAAATACCACTGACAGAGCTGCACTGGCGGCCAAAATATAACGGACATAAGTGACCTATACCAAATATCACCGGGCAACCGATAACATCAAATTGATCGTTATTGTTATTTAAGATCAAGCACTTGTTTTGTTGTTGACTGCAGATTGAATGAAGCCTGTAGTTTGGATTCAGGTTATTTTATTATCTCACCGAGTGCCATATAATGCTTAATTAAGCTGTCTGATAGATATCGTGCCCAATATCCTAACTTATTAAATATGGAGTTGCCCGTGATGCAGAGCACTTGTGAGACTTTTGGAGGCTCCCTTCTACTTGGAGGGTTTGTACCTCCCCCATTCAAAATTAATATATTTTTTCCCCCAAAACAGCATTGGGTACCTTAAATATCCGCATTAAGGTCCTTGGTGCCGAAGAGGTTGCAGGGCTCCGCGAGACGTCCATCAGTCCAATACTTTACGACATTACAAGTTTGCTCAAGATCAAATCAAGTCTCCGCCACCGCCAGCAGCCCTACAAATAAGGTATTCTTGTCGAGAAAAACTTAAAAGGCACGGAGCCCCGAAGGGAGCGGCAAACATCTTGGCCCACCCCGCCCGGTACTAATCTTAGCTACGCCACTGAAGCATAATGCACAAAATTCGAAATGAATGTGTACAGGAATTCCATCTCTATGAAATGCGAATTTAATGTGGACGGGAAAGCCATGTGAATTCGTTGTGGATGGGAAAACCATATGTGAATTGGAAAACCATTTTCGACATTTGAAATCACGGTGCAAGCAAACTGGAGTGCACACCTAAATTAGATAGTGGACTAAGGTTGAGGGATTGATACATACTATTTAAAAAAGAACCGAGAAGGTGAGATTAGAATGTATGTATGTACTTGAAAGATAACATGATAGAAACGATAGTGTTAGAGGCAGGTATAACCAAAGATACCGGTAATAGTTATTGAACAAGTGATTGTTTTTTTGTGCTTTTTCTTTCTTACGGGAATTCTTCTATTGTTCATGTTGCTCCTTTGAATAATGAAAGCAGAGCGTGCTTGAATGGATGCTTTGTTAATGTTATTGTGTGTATGTGCGTGGGCGTGGCTTTGGATATATATATATTATATATACGTTTACACAAACAAAATATTTTTTTTAAAATTATCTTTGACTGTTAATCTGTCCGATTATCTCAGACATAACTGACTGATGACTGTTTCCGCATGCTGGATAACCGACCTTACAAGTCTTGAAATAGCAATGCGGTATAATGTAAAACCATCCAGACCCCTCTGACACTTTTCACTTCATTTTGTAACCCGGGTAGTGCGAGGGAAAGACTCTCCCGGCAATGAAGCTTGAAAATACTACGCCTTTAAAAAAAACCCCCATCTATAATACATGCAGTGGCGTAGTTAGACAGTCTGCACATTGGGTATTACGCCCCCCACCCCTTAAAAGGGTTATGACTAACTTCTAAAGTAACTGATGACAGCAGAGGCGTAGCAAGGGGGCGGAGGGGGTGCTCCGACCCGGGCGGCATTTTTTTTTCTTCATTATAATGAGGGGCCGAATTACGGCCAATGGCTAAGCTTTTTATCGTGGAAAGGGGGGGGGGTGGGGGCGGCACAATTCCTGTCCCACCCTCGGTGGCACTAACCCTATAGATACGCTAGTGTTTTACGGCTACAGGAAAGGGTATCTTTAGGAAGATTTCTACAATCATTATAATGAGGGGCCGAATTACGGCCAATGGCTAAGCTTTTTATCGTGGAAAGGGGGGGGGGTGGGGGCGGCACAATTCCTGTCCCACCCTCGGTGGCACTAACCCTATAGATACGCTATTGTTTTACGGCTACAGGAAAGGTCATCTTTAGGAAGATTTCTACAACATCTTGAATTGTGATGTTAAACTAAAATACGCATAGCCGCTATTCGGACCCGGGTCCCTTTAGACTAAATCCCATTCGGATTTCATGTGTGGTAGTTTATTTTATTTGAACTGAAGAATGAAGTTTACAAACGTACAGTACATTCAATTATCTTTCGTTTGATACCCCATTTTGTCTTACCAACCCAACAATAATTTGTAAATAGTTTTTCAACCGCAACCTCTCACTCCTGGTACCAGGGTACGAATAGCCACTTCGAATAGATTATGTACATCTTTCCGTCTTTTAGACGCGCAATGTGGTTGTAATGCCCCAGATAGTAAAAATGACATATAGACGAAATACAATAAGAGAGTTTATGAAGCTAAAAGAAATTAGAGAGTATGGTCCTGGTTGCTTCATCCGAAGAAGAAGAGTGCTTTAAAAAAAAAATTAAATCCATGTATGTACGTACTGTATACCTTATTTACGACTTTAATTTTTTTTACAATCACAAACGTCTCTCCTTCAATTTTGATTAAGATAATGATATTTTTGTATAACGTGTTTGCATTTCTGTGATCTAAATCTGTGCTAGAGTATTTTTGTTTTTAAGTAAATATTTTTTTTTTACTTCAATATAAGAATATAAGAAAGCGGGAAGTGAATCGCCTCGTTTAGGAATGTAAACAAGCGCGCAGAATTTTTAAAATTTCTGAACAAGGTTTACAAAAATAAATTCAATAAGTTATTTTATTGGCAACCCAAAATATTATTTGAGACTCCCTTTTGTAACGCCTCTCTCTCTCTCTCTCTCTCTCTCTCTCTCTCTCTCTCTCTCTCTCTCTCTCTCTCCTCCTCCTCCCTCTTATCACATTCTCTCTCTCTTTTACTCTCTCTCTCTCTCTCTCTCTCTCTCTCTCTCTCTCTCTCTCTCTGTCCACTAAATCTGACTGATAACACATTCGTTATCTAGTATAAATGATCAAGACAGTTTCACCCAGAGCAACAAAAATGGAAGAACATATTACAGTTAAATATTTTTTTAAAAGATTATCCTGTTGCTACTGTAGTAGCGCTTATTAAATCCTTTGAATTAACTCCGCTTTTGTTTGTGGCTAGCTGGCACAATCTGCGGATGACTAATTGACCAACTTCACGTCAACCTGTGGAGCTGAAACTTGTCACATAGTCTCGTTGCCGATGACAACACATTCTGTAAAATTCCCAGCCCCATCAAAAACCCCCACAAAATCAGTGCTTCTTATTTTTTTTTAAAGAAAAGGCAGAGGAAACAGGATGCCTCAGATTTCACGAAATTAAATTCCCGATAACTCCGCTAAATGGTGTTCTTTTTTTTTTTTTAAATATCGGTGCGTGATATTTTCTTTCATTTTTAAGAAA